AGATGAGTCTTCGAGTTTTCTGCTCCGAAAACCATAATAGACATTACACACTTACTAGAGAAATATTTATCTACTCAGATACTTTTGGGCACTAGATGAGAACGATAATAACGCTTCTTCTCAATCTAGGAAGCACTTATCCTGTATAGAAATTTTTTCTCTCTATTATTTTTTCAATATATTTCTAATTAGGAACTTTATTTTCTAAAATTCTAAAATCAGAAGTTCTGGTGCCATACAGAAGGCCATCTCAAGGGAACAATGAAAAATTAATAAATGATAGAATAGTAGATAAAATATTAAGCAATGTATAATTCGAACCCAATAAATAAAACTTTTAATGAATTAAATTAATGTAAAAATTAAACAAAATTATAAAAATAAATAAATAAAACAAATAAAGAGCTTAAATTAATAATGAATTTTAAAAAATACCATCAGAAATAATTTAGCAGTTCTAATTTATTATATAAAAATTATCTTTATTAAATCTAAAAATTGGACTTCTTAAGCCGTTCTAAAATCACACTAATATTATTGCAATATATTCCCGTATTAAGCTTTCCGTTTTTAATCATTGAAGTTATTTTAAAGTTATTTAACTTTGTTACAAATTCCATATTTTAATACTAGAAACGTTTAAATATTTATTCTGTTTTCCATCTGATGTACTTTGGTATACATTTACATTAATTCTAATACACATTTAATTAATAAATTAATAATTATGAGCGTCAGCAGAATTTTCATAATTAACAAAAAAAAAAATAAAACAAAATAAAAATAAATAAAAAATAAAAATCAAAAACTTCCTTATATTCATATCCTGGAATTTTCAGTTCCCTTTTAATCCATTTCTTTTTCACATATTGTTGCACTGTACTCAAGTTTTCATGTATGTAGAATTTATATACTTTGTATTGTATTTATGCTAATTTATATTTAAATGATAATTTTTACAAATTCTTGCATCACAACTCTAGTTAATAGAAGATGTTTATAACACCTTGGCAAAGCTTAATCTTCAGCATGTAGCTTATTTTCCAACCTAGTTTCAGGCTGGATTATTTGTAAAATTAATTACTTGAAATTATTTGTTAACAAAGATAGTTGCTAAATCATGCTAATAATATTTCTAATTGTTGTAATTTATAATGAAACGAGTTCATGTGATTTATAATATAATTCATTTATAATTTTTTCAGCAGTATTGAAATTAATAGCAGATACTGATAATGATATACATTTAGATTACAATAATTTAGATTGCCATTGCCTTCTTCACTCATGCTTTTATGCTACATTCCTAATATTTCATAATGGCATACAGGTAAGTTTAACTCATTCACTAAACATATAAATCTCTAATTCAGCCCACTTTTGTTCTTATGTATGCTGTATCTTCTATTTTCTTTAATATATTGTTCAGCCTAATTTTAAAAGGTCTTGTGGAAAAGTCACTAAACATTGGCAGTTCGACACGAGTTTCTAGTCCCAGTGACCCCCCAGCTCTTTCTTTTTTTGTACTTATTTACTGTATGAAAATGTAGCGTAAAAATTTCAGTTCATGAAGTAAAAATACTTTTTTAATTTATTCTTTAAAAATATTGCAAAAATTTTTACCTTTACCTTAGCATATCTTTTTACAACTCCCTCTAATAAGAAAAAATAAGGCAAGAAATTAACTCGGTATTGGTGATTGATACCTTGGTGCAAATTATATGTAACATTTTTCCAAAAGCATAGAGTTTATATGGATATCAATAAATTAAGGATTATTTCTCCATCTAATTTTCTTAACATGTTTATTCCAGAACTTTCTTTTCACACTGTAGCGCTTAACTTTATGAGTTTTCTATAATCATTCAATTTCTCTAGCCATGGCAACTTTGCATACCTTCTAACAAGTAGTTATATTTTTAACCACTGTATTTTAATTCCTGTTGACTATCAGTACATTATTCACTTGTTTCACAAGTGCAACTTTTATTTTATACGCAAATCTACGTAAAATAGCATTAAAACTTCAGTTATGCGGAGCTCCTGATCGATTGCTTGTTTTAGATTGAATGAAATTAAGCTTAATGTTACTGTTAATTAGCTTCTTATAAATTTAATTATACATTTCTAATTAATTATATGTTCAGATATTTCCAAGTATATTACTCAAACTTTTGTATCCCAATTTTAAATTTTTGGTTAAAAAAATTAACTTTTATTTACTGAGAGGCCTGATTGATTACATTAATTTGCAGTATTGTTTATCTAATTCCTTTCTTCTAGATAAATTTTAGAAAAAACTTCTTAGCATAATAATTTAAATTTATTTACAATTTATACGTCAGTGTTCCAAATGCATAGTAATGTTGTTATAATAGATTTCATGCTAAGCTTTTTTTTAAATTTAACTAAATTTAATTTCTGCAAACATTTGCATGATTACTTTAATTAACAGAAATATTTTTAGCACACTTTAACCCACTTTGATATGGAATAATTTTTTGCACGCTAGTGAACTCTGTTAAATTTTCCAGTCTAGTTTAGACATCTTGACTATTATTGATGTAATTTATTAAAAATATAATTTGTATGCTTTATAATTATTTAATTTTTGATATTATTATAATAAATTAAAGATGTTTGTAATGCTAATATGTATGTTTACCAATACCTTTTATTTTCTTTGTTAGCTCTCGCATTTATTACTGTTATTCAAGTAATTAACCTGCTTGTTAGATATTTTTTACTTGTTCTTGTGATATGTAATTCTATTTATTTATTTTTATTTTCCTCTTGGCTACAATTGGCTTCGAAAAGTTAAATTGTAACCCTGTAGGCAGCAGGAGGAAGAAATTTTGATTGGCGCAGTTGGATTATAGCTCGGCCCGGGGGGAATTTTCATTAGCGCAGTCGGAGTACACCCCAATAAATAAATTGCTGATTAAAGCACAGCTATTAGTAACGGATTTTATGTAAATTTATATGTTATAAAATGTGACAGCTAATTTTAAAAACTTGTACTTAATTATATATTTTAAATAATGGAATGAACCAAAATGAAATTCTATTTTATGAGCAAATAAAATGAAAAGGGTGCAAAATTTTAAGCCTAAAAAAATGTGTCTTTAACTCTGTAAGTAGCTGATAAGGAGTGCCTTTTAATACTAAAACATTTCTTTCTCTAAAAAAAAAAAAAAAGAAAAGAAAACTTTCTAAAAGTATAAACAAAATAGTAAACATAAAAAATATATCTTAGAGTCACTGTGATTAATCGCTTCTCCCTCCCGTCAATAATAACATTTATGTTTATTACTATATTACAATAACAATTGCTGTGCTCCGTCTCCGAATTGATACTTTGTCATTATTCGCCTCATTACACTACGCAAATACATGTTTTCACTACCATCATATAATCTTCATCACTTCATTATTTATACTAATACTATTATTTAGTACACATGTTCTTTATATCTTAGTTCTTTATATTATCTGAAAATGAGACTAATAGTTAGCTACCCAACTGAATTCTCTCATTGTTATGCAATAACGTACGCTACTCTTGTGTTTTCGAAAATAATCGAGTGGGCTCACCAGTAGCCGAGCAGTAAAGTAGCTGAAAACTAGTAATTCGACCTGGGCTTGATTTCATGTGAACAGGCTAATTACACCGACATTTTCGTGGTTTTCCTCATATGCGACTCTGTTACAAGACAGTTTCCCTAGAAAGCCCGCCATCGAGGCATCCCTCCCCTTGGCTAGCCTTCGCGTACTTTGTGGTAGTCAAAATAAACCAAACAAAACGCAGAATTTAGTAAAATAATAAAATATTAATAAGTGAATCAATATATATTCTCAACATATTCGAGCCCGTCATTTTATAGCAAACAATTAAGATATTTTAGTTCCAAAAGTACTTTTATGATTGCGCATGCGGGTCACACGAGAGACACATAGAAAATTACAATCTGAGATTTTAAAAAAGTTGTATAAAATACTCCAGTTATTCAATATTGTTTCACCTCCCCCCCCCCGACATTTATTGAATTGCAATTTAAGTCTCCTAGTATTCTCGTGAAATAACAGTAGTGAATATGTTGCATTTTTTTTTTTTTTAATTATTATTATTTTTTTTATTTCATGTTGTGAAACCATGTTATCAGGGTACGGGGATTATGTGTGTGTATTTTTTGTATGATTATAGTTTCTAACTGATTTGTGAACATATATCAAATCTAATATTAGGTAAAATTCAACTTTAAACTGTCACTCCTTTTATAAGTAAAATTTATCAATTATTTCCAATGTACTGTTTTTAACATGAATATTCTATTACTTATCGTGTGTAATCTGTGAGATAATATTGCATTAATGTATAAATCGCAGAAAAACTTCCTCTCACAGCACTATTCTTATTTTTTGGTGGCAAAATAATAATTAAGAATTTTCATCAATCGCTGTCGCTCACAATGCGGAAAAACGAAAATTAAAACACATACTTATATAAAGAAAAAATATTAAAAAATAACACTTTACATTTAAATGATCATTTCTATCTAAAATATTTTAAATTAATGTGACTGAAAAATAAAACCCTGTTTGCTACTACTAATGATGGGAGAAAAAGTATCAGTTTCAACATAACATGTAAACCATCTACGAAGCCTCTGCCGCTCAAACTGCATAATATGATACATTCAGCGGTCACGCGAAAACAAAAATAGCATAATTTTCTCCGGACAAGCATCAAGAGTCCGTTTGTTGAGAAGTAAGATTCACATTTCGACACCTTTCGTCTAACGCGGAATAACTGTTTGTGTCGGCAGGCACAGAGAATGAAGCTGCTGCATTGCAGGTACAACTCGACCAATCATACAATAGCGTTGAGAAGACCGCGCTTTTCGCCTCAACTGCGCGCCCAAATGGCGCAACTGTGAGTGATTCTTACGCACTGAGAAAATAGTTCTTGCAATCAAATGCAGTATAAAATCCAACGTCTTACCGTCAGAATTTCGTTTTTCGTTTGTATGCATAAAGAGAGTTTTAGTGTGTGAAATAGGTACACTTTGGACGCATTGGTATAGGATTTGTGGTCGTGGATTAATACAGTCCCACAACTGCTAGGAGTTCATTTGATGTTTTGTCATTGCCTTCGCCATCGTCGGAGCGCATTTGATAAGTATTGAGCAGTTCTGTGATTCTGCCTCGTAAGCGTTTGCTGTAGCTTTGTGTTGTGTTACTGTTCTGTTTTATTTACGTACTGTATTAAAATGGTAAGTAATTTAAAATTTTTTTTTAACGTTTTAAGAATTTTTTTTAATATTTCTGTATAACTAGTCCAGTCGGCGAAGTGTACTCGTAGGCAGTAATTCGGAGATGACGTAATAATTATTAAATTACGGAACTGTGTGCCCTAATTGATTTTTTTAAAAAACATCTACAGGATTTTCGCAAATATGACTGTCTTTTTAAGCTTTAAAAATGTCAAAAGAAAATCGGCGTATTTAATTCATGTATCGGTGACCTAGGCATCTATTTCTTAACTAGCTTTTAATTATCTTATTATCTTGAGTCATGTACATGTGCCTCAGTTATACTGAAATACGTACGATTCATTAAAGTTTTTTATTTCCTTTAATCTTTGGTTTCAAATTTTTGCCGGCATACTACTGGCCACGATGCGCGTTACGGTTCCGGTTACAAAGTTTTAAATATTTGCGCGCTTAAAGCAGTGGGTAGGTAGAATTGTTCAAATAATTTTAGTTACCTAGGAGTAATTTATGAAAAATAAGAATTTATTACATTGTTTTTAATTTAGATGATTATTAATTTTGATATAAATTCAGGAATGGAAAAAAAGTAATCTGACTATATTAATTCAGCAGATGAAGGTAGATCAAATTCTTACATATTTCTCTAAAGTAACTCTTCTTTTGTTTCTGCTTCCTTTTATTTTGCAAAGGTGGATAACTTGCGTACATTTTTTTAATAAAGTCGGATTGCATTTTCTTGCAGATAATTTATGTAAAAATTGGTTTGAAAGAGTTGTGTTTCTAAAGCTTTGAAAATGTTGGTTTGTTCTGCATTCAAATACCTAACTATATCATAAGGATTTTTTCCATATGTGTTACAAGGCTAGTTTCTGTTCAGGATGTTGTTCACAAAATGTCCTTTTTCTAGACTATCCGACTCTTAAATGTCTGTAAAATTGTCTTATTTTCCATTATTTGTAATAAATTCATTAAATGGATGATTAAACACAAGTGATGCAACCTCTTTATTGAAGCAAGTTAATTTATTAAAGTCATGAATTATTGCTTTGCTGTAAGTTCTATTTCCTTAAGGTGAGTTAGTTATGTAGATACTTTCAGGACTTTCTTGATGTGAAACAAATGCAAGTCATTTAAAAAGCTTTCTTTCTTTCAAGACAAATTTTTTTTATTTGTAATAGCTGTAGTTTTCTGCTTAAATCGTGTTATATTTTGCCCTTGCATAGCATTAGTATGAAATTAACTTAAATGGGGGGGGGAAAGTGCAGAATCGCCAACTGCTTGGAACGTTTTTTAAGAATTGCACAAATTCGGCATTGTGCACACCCTTGACTTTGTCCATGTACACATCAATGTATTTTCACTTAAGTCGAGGGGAAATTGACAAAAATCCAAATCTCTTTACTCTTGTAAAAAGCGCCAACTAAGTAGGCGATTTTGCGCTTCATCTAATTTAAATGTTCAATCAGTTTAATAGTATAATATTTTAAAACCAGTAATGAATTAACCAATCTGCCAGTAATAATTGGCAGTATTTGCCATTTGTTGATAGTTTGGCATCAAAATATATTTTCAAGCTTGCTCACCTGTGAAATGTCTTTTATTCCCGGCAGGCATTTCTTGGCAGTTGCATTGAAAATATTACCAGACTATTATTCTGCACAGCTTGTCTGTTTTTTTACATAAATTCTCCTAAATAAGAAGGCAAGGAATTTCGAGAAAAGTGAAGTGCAGAATCGCCCACTGCTTGGTGCATTTTTAAGAATTGCACATACTTGGTATCCATGTACACGTTGACCTATTTTCACTTAAAAAAAGTCTCAGAATTGCACAAAAATGGCATTGCGCACTTCCTAGACTTTATCCATGTACACATCGACCTATTTTCACTTTAAAAGTCTAAGAAAATTTGACAAAAATCCAATTCTTACTCTTGTAGAAAGCTCCAAACAAATAAGTGGACAATTCTGCACCTAAGCCGGAATTTCTCTTAAAACACATCCTAGTTTTTATTCTAACACTTCATTGTTGAAATTATATTTCCATTGTTTATCTTCTGTCATTTGCTTTCACTGTGGGAGAATTGAATCGTTATACTTTTTAGCTAAATGCTACATTCTAAAACAAAAATTTTGTAAGGGAAAAAATTCCATTGCTTATCTTCTGTCATTAGCGTTCACTGTGGGAGAATTGAATCATTATACTTTTTAGCTAAATGCTACATTCTAAAACACAAATTTTGTAAGGGAAGAAAAAATTATTTACATTTTTACAACTTTTGGGTGCTGTTTATCAAAATGATCATTAAATATGAAATATTTAAGCCAGCATATTTTTCATTTGCTGGTATTTCATATTAGGGATGGCCCCATTCTTTTTTACTGTTCTATTATCGGGACCGGATTAAAAAATGTGTATATGTATGCATGGATGGATGTTTTAATGTATATATGTACGTACAATATATACATTAACACACATACATGCACATGTGTATGTATGTGTTACCGTGAAAGACCGAAATTGGAGAATGTCAACATTCACCAAATGCGTTGGTGAAAGATCGAATATTGCATTACATTCTTGTACATTCGGACCCTCACCGTTGTATGTCGACAATCACAGATATGCTCTGGTGTAGGTCGAAAAGAGAGGAGTATATGTACATGCTGTCATTGCAAAAGGAAGTGTTCCACAAATAAATGCAGTTGTAAAAGCAAGGACCTCTTGTGCAATTCAAAGTGTAATAATAGTTTAAGTTGTTGCAGTAAATAAGATTGGAATCGCAAGTTTTTAACTTCTATTATTTTCCTTTCTCATTTTGAATGTACTGTGTGTTTGTTCTTAAGTTCTCATTTTAAGTCTCAAGTGCATTTTTTCGAGACTGAATTATGGAGAAAAAAAATATAATATTCTTATATGTTTAACATTCACCATTAGCACATGGTGAATGTCGACATTTACCGGTGTAAGTCAGAAATAAGAGTATTTGGAAAATATTTCGGACATGCACCAAGCGACTATGTAAATGTTGAGATTCACCGGTGAAAGTCAACATTCTCCAGATTTCGTTTCACCGTAACACATATATTTCTGAATTTGGGCACAATAACAGAACAGTGCCCTTTTTTCCCCCAGTAATATATTATCATTTTGGCTATTTTATTCATTCATAATATGAAAGCATTCTTGAGTGTTGTTTCGATGCTTAAATTTTTAGTTTTTTTTATATGTATTAAGAGTTAATTTGACCTTTTGCACCTAAACTCTGTAATTTAAGGAAGATGCTAATTATATTTTGGGTCAGAAAAGGACATTTTCAAATGTTATACATTGTTTGTTAAGAAAGTTGATGTCTTGGGGGATATTTTAGATGTTTTTAGTGTTTAAATTTCATTTTTCATTTGTAAGTTGTTTGTTTTTTAATTTAAATTAACCAGGTTTTTTTTTTTTTTTTTTTTTTTTATATATATATATATATAAAGAAAATAAATATGCAAAATGAATGTCAGCATGGTAAGTTTTCTTCCTTAATAGGTTTGTAGCAGAAAAAGTAAATTATTAATGGTGAGTTATTGGGAAAGTGTATCAGACGGGGTAGTTCATTGAATGTTGGAGGTTTTACGAGTTGAAGATAGAAGATCAAACTGTACTCCAAGCTTTACTTCTATAAATGGAAGAACATACCTGAAACTTCAAAAGGTGGGAGGAAATGCAGAATACCCCACTGCTTCGTGCGTTTTTCAAAATCGCCAACTTAAAAATGCGTCAAAGAATTGCACAAACTCTGTATCCATGTTCACATCGATTCACACCATATAAGTGGGCTATTCTGCACTTGAGCCCAAAAGTGTATAGGGACAGTGCAATACTAAAATACAACAGCGAGTAATTGTTCACAAAATCTTTTGTTGCCAGTTTTGGTTTTAGAGACACACATCGGTCGGGGAGACGGAGGTTGATGATGAAATAAAGTCTTTGCTTAAATCAAACCCATATTGTATGACACAAGACATTATAAAAACTTTGAATATTCATTATTCAAATATCCATCATTATTTGAAAAAGATGGGATCAGTAAGAAAGCATGATCTGGTTTATATTTAAGTTCCTCATGAACTTCAAGAAGTTTATTTAATAATAATGCTGTAATACTTTCAGTATGGTGAGATTTTAAAGCTGTGCTTATTGAATCTACTACCAAGAAACATCTCGAATGTGTATTGGCAGTAGGGCAGCTTTAACAAATCTGTCATTTGAAAAGATCCAAAGCTTGTTAGTTATACAAGTTCTGTAAAGGTAACACAAATTTGATCACTAATCCAAAAATTTAGTTTGGATTGAATATGTTACTGTACATTATAAAGTCTCCTTTTTCTTTTTGGTTGCATAAACTCTATGTATGAGATGAAATAGCGGATTCTCACTGTCTTGAAGAATAAATACTGCAGAAGAAATGTTTTAACTAACCTTTTTATTTAAACTAAATTAAAACAGATGTGTGCACCTCGCAAATCGCCAATAAGCTGACGACTGGCTTCTTAGTTTAACTAACGCTTAATTGGTAGCACGGCCGAGCCTAGAAGTATCAGTGTCAACTGATAGGTGTTTAATACGGGCTAGAGAGTTAAATTCAAGCATGCAGCATATACTCAGAGCTAAGTCCGCTACTATTCTATTTGAACTCTTGAAACTCAGCTTAAGTACTGCTTCTGAAACATGTTTAGATTTGCATCTATATCGTAAAAAAATTTACATTCCGTCAGAAAACAAATCGGGAGGGAAAGAAAAGTCAAACTGAAAATAATTGGTTGGAATAAAATCCTTGTAACTTATCATCATATATGTGCCTGATCATATAGAGAGGGTTGTTTCACTTTCTTCAAAAAAGTGAGATAATACTTCAAATACAGAGAGGGTTGTCTCACTTTCTTCTTTCTTGGTATAATGTTTGATGTTAATAGTACATTTTTGCTGATAAAATCCATTTATGAACAAGGACTCGTGAACGTAACTGAAAAGTGGCAAAAGATTATCGGTTGATCCTTCGGATTATGGTAACTTGGCGATTTTTTGGCGAAAATTTGGCGACCAACTCTGCTACAGCAACACTCTATTTTTTTTTTTTCGCCGCCATTTTGTCTTCACGAAGTAAAGACATGTTTCTTTTCTTTTTATTTACTGAACACTTTTTCCAACAATCTACTAGCCGAATTACACTTATGCTAGAAATTTTATGTAACAAAACTGCTTAATCATGACAAATATTAACTGCAAAATTGGGGAAAAAATGCACAATCGCAAACTCCTTTCGCGTTTTTCAGAATAGCACATGCACATAAACCATTTACACATCGACTTATTTTTACTTTAAAAAAATCCCAGAATTGCACAAAATTGGCATTGCACACACTCTTAACTTTAGCCATCTACACTGCTATTTCTCATAAATTACAAAAATTTGCACGAAAATGCAAAAAAAGTTCTGTGAATCTTTAAACTCTGTAAAAAGCACATATGTGAAATTACCTGATTGCGAAAAAGTATATACCCTTTCCAAGGATGAACATTTCCACGTATAAAATAAATAAAATATCCAAAAAATTTTAACCTCTAAATTAGCTATTATATTATAAACGTCACCAACGAATTCATACCACAAACATTACAAGTACTTAGTATCAAATATTTAAATTATTTCCATGCACGTTTACTTCAACTGAAACTTATACCAAATTCCTACAAACATAAAATTCACAAAATAACTATCATTTGATTAAAATATCACTAAGCCATGTACACGTCAACTTATTTTTACCTAAAAAAACATCCCAGAATTGCACAAAAATGGCATTGCGCACACTCTTCACTATATCCATGTACACTGCTTTTTTCTCATGAATTTGAAAAATTTCACAAAAATGCATGAAAATTTTGTGAATCTTTAAATGCAGTACAAAGAACATATATGAAATTACCTGATCGCGAAAAAGTATATTTCCTTTACAAAGATGAACATTTCGCGTATAAAATAAATAAAATATCCAAAAACTTTTACCTCTAAACTATCTATTATATTATAAACGTCACCAACGAATTCATACCTCAAACATTACAAATGGTTACAAATACAGTTAAAAGTCTTTAATCCGGACTCGTCGGGACTTCGGCGATTCCAGATTATCGATTTTTCCGGATTATAGATCATCAGTTTAAATCTGGTAAGATGGCATGCAGAAATTATAAAATTAAAGATATGAAACTGTAATTTATAAAATAATGAGCAATTATGATCGAAAGGATATCAAAATTTACAAAAAAAGAAGCTTAATATTTATTTGTTTACTTTATTAAACATTTCTTTCAACGCGCGCATGCGTAAAGCATACATTACGCATAGCCGAAATTAGAAAATTGCAATCAGAAAACTATTTGATTTGTATTTGTGATATTCATAATGAGGAGGAATAGTGCTGACAGATCAACTTCCAGTTCATTGTGAGCCCCCTCCCCTCCCCCCATGCAGAGCAGCGTGAAGAAATTGATAAACAGATTTCGGAACGGTTAGATAAACAAAGGATATGCCTTTATCCATTTTTTGTAGCAATTCCACTTGTTTGATGGACATCGATTCATACTTTCGTTTTGTAGATCCTTTGGGAGATCCAGCATCAGAAATTCTATTTGACATAATCGAAAGTTCAAGCTTACTTTTATAAAATTGCTCGTACAGTCTGCAAAAAATAATAAGCCGGATCCAATTCGAAGATTAAGGAGCAACGCAATCATCAACATTAACTTAAATGGATAATTAGGTAATTTTAGCTTATACCGTCCGTTATATATTAAACGTGCACGCGAAAATGTAACTTGCGCATGCGCAGTCGTAAAAGTCTTGCGCGCACGCAAAAACGCTTATGCGCATGCGTCAATGAGGCACATGCGCAGAAAGATTTTAGCTTTGAGGTCCGGATTATGGGTGTCCGAATTAACGACTTTTGACTGTACTTAGTGTCATCCATGCACGTTTACTTCCACTTAAAACGTACACCAAATTCCTACAAACATATAATTCACAAAATAACTATCATTTAATTAAAATATAATTAAATTCAAAAATACTACTTAAATTATAAAAATCATTGCTAATAACAATTTTCCAATAATACCATATTATTTTATTTACTCCTTACGTTTAGAACAATGCATAAAAATATCCTCAAATAATTAAAAATGCTAACTTACCTTATCTTCTTCAGAATCTTGATTACTAGGCGGATACACTTTTCTTATTTCCTCCGCTAAATAAAAAGCAATCGTATGTGCGCCTGTTTCAGGATCTTTAAAATCATACTTATAGTTCACAGCAAGGTACCAGGTAAAATAAATAATTTAATAAAACATCTTTACTTCTATCTCGCACAACCTTAAAAAAACACTTATCACTACCCCTTTCAATCCCACTAAATACCCATTTCAAATTCACTTTAGTTAGGGCCATGGGATCCAAAATTTAACGAACACTTTCACACAACACAGAATAAAGCTAAATACAAAATTTCCAGATTTTTTTCCGGTTAAAGAATTGTAATTCGTCCATTAATGTCACATGACATATCTCATGATCTCTCATTTCCCTCACACAAAATAATGCGTAATCGGAACTGAGTACTTCTCACATTATAACCAAAGTCTTAGGTAGTAACATTTATCGCCTCCAAAATGTCGCCAAACTACCAGTTATCATATTCCAAAGATCAGCCGGATTATCAAACGGAATGGGCAATATAGAATTTATTGGGCTTTCCTTTTTATAAAATTAAATTTGAAATGCAGGAAAAATGGCACAACTTCCCCAGTAATTATGATGCAGAATGTAAATTTTATGGCAATTTTTAAATGCTGACATAAATTTTATTTATAATGCTTCATAATATTTATACTGAAATCAAACCTTTTTAGATTATTTTCAGTGTGTATGAAAGTGATGTTGTAAAAATATTGACAAAGAGCATTTCTTAAGTGAAAGTATTGTGTATTTGTATGAATCGAACAAAATTTGTATTCTTGAATAGTTTTTAAACTCGTGTTCAAAGTAGAATTTTCATGTTTGGTCAATTATTTCATAAATCTGATGAAATTTGGTAGTCTTAAATTGATATAATACAAACCTCTTGAGAGTTACAGTACACGTCCATGATCATCATGTAAAGGCTTTATTGATGCAGGAAAGCATCAATCAACAAGGTAGAAAATCTGGAGGAAGATCAATAAAAGATGTGGTTCCCTATAAATAATTTCACAGCTTTTATAACAGGATCTCTTAACTAGAAATAAGTTTACGTGTCCTTCTGGTAGCTGCCCTCGTTTTAGCATTGTATTCAATTTCTCAGAAGAGGAAGACGAGTTGCAGTTATCCTTCTAAAAGCATCTTGTATGTTCAGAAGAGTTTAGATCTAGGGATCTGCTTAGCCATTCCATCTGGTTAATAGTCTTACTTTCTAGAAAAATGTGTATCACTTAACCTGAGTGAGCAGAGTTCATAAAAATGGATTGAGGGTTAACAGCACTCCTGAAATGGCAAACTTGGAGCTCTTAAGATTAATTTGTTAGCAGAGTAGTTAACCAGTGGCCTAACAGTAAAGCAGCTAAACACGGGTAGTTCAGCCCAAGGTTTGAAACTTGTGAGCGGGCTAGCTGCATGGGCGTTTTTGGGGGTTTCTCCACATGTAACATATATACGAGCCAGTTTCCCTTAGAAAGTCCTCCATGATAGCATCCCTCTCCTTAGCTAATAGCCCTCGAGGCTTTGTCATAATTTCATAAACCATCTTTTAGAATAAAAAAGAGTGATATAAATATTGATACGGTCACTTTTTAACCTTGAATCTGTAATAAAATAATCAAATATTTAATCTTGAATGTCATTTGAATGCTTGCTTTATATTTTGAACTTGTAAAATTTAAGCTCAAATTTTTTTTTTCCATTTTTATATCAAACTGTGTTTATCAAAGTGCTAATTATCAATAAATGATGCCTTACGGTTGTGGGAACTTTCAAATTGTGAATAATATGGTGTAGCAACAAAGAAATTAGCGTTTTATGAAATTGTTGCTTATTTGAATTCTTTTTTAATATTTTTTTTCTTCTGAAGAGCATATAGAATAAATTTTAATTAACATTATTCTTTTTCAGGCTGATCAACTTACAGAAGAACAAATAGCAGGTGAGTTTTTAAGAATTTAAGTAAATAATGCATATGTGTTTAAATCTGCACGCTGTTATAATGAATTTATTTTCAGATATGCAAGTAAATAATTTATTAGATTTTTAATTCTGGTGGCTGACAAAAAAAATATGTTTATATTATATAAATAAATGCTGTTCGCGGTATATTTATTTTATTCAAAACTTATATAAACTAATAATTGAACAAATTCATTATCTCACTACTTTCATCCAATTACAATGCGAAATAATGGCATTATTTTGTTGACTTACTGTATCATTTGATAACTGAATATTATTAAGTTCATTAGCCAATTTTTCATAAAAAATGTTAAAACTTTATCTTGAGCTGCTGGTTATTCATTGCTTTTATTACTTTACCAGAAACTTAAAGGGTGTAACATAATCATTGTAAAAAAAATCCCACTCAGTTAACTATTCATTAACCCCAAGGGTTTTTTCTTTAAAGAATATTACACTATTAATGATACAGTAAATATATTACCTGTTCTATGAATACTGGCATTTAGTTACTTGCGAAAAACACAGAACAAAAGTACGCGGTTCATTTGAATTTCACTTGACTAAAAAATAGGTCTATGCTTTTGGCCAAGAAGGCACCTGGAAAAATTAAACCTTGAATGCACTTGAATTGGTAAATGCCACTCACTGCGGTTGCTCCCGCAAAATCGCAGCTTGGGAAAACATTGCCGCTAGACCTGAAAAACACTGGTGTTAAAGATGGCGCCTTCAGCGGTTGCTCACTGGAAATCACAACTTGAGATTTGACGCCGCTTAATCATGGAACAGGATGCCGTCCACGGCAGTTACTCACCGGTGACTACAACTTGAGATTTGACGTTGCTTAACCTTGGAAACAGGATGCCGCCCACGGCTGTTGATCACTGGTAATCACAACTTGAGATTTGACGTCGCTTAAACTTGGAAAAGCTAACATGACCTGGAACCACGGTACTTATCGCTCTGCGACACTCGTCGCAGTCTGTCTTCCAATGAGTGCTGGAACAGCACACCAGGAGCAATGAAAACTGGAACAAGAAGGGCTAAATTGGATCTTGGATCATATATTTACTGCTCGCTTTAGCTACTAGGAGCTCTTACCAGTATATTATCATTATACCATAGGCCATAAAGTTAAAAATTTAAGAGGTGTATTTAAAAATACACCGCGCCCGAAGGCGAGATCAGTAAATGAGAGAACTCTTAAAATAAGTTTTGCTAAATTTGCATATCAGGGCATATCGTGGATGATTATATCAATGGCGGCGAGAGACTAAATGAAAGTCTAAGCTTCTGGGTGAGTCTAGAAGAGCAGAAACACGTGATCAGTGTCCAGCATTAAGATTGGTAGAGGAGTCAGAGTTCGAAAAATGAAGTTTTTTGTAGTTTTTGGAAATAAAGTTCAAACATAATAAATGCAACATCTATGTGGTGGATCGTTTGAGGTCTTTTCACTACATGCTCAATAGTAGGCTCATAGTCTGTAAGCGATTTAATAGCTTCATAGGGAGAATTTCTCATATCTTCAAAGAAATTGTGTGCAGAAATTAGCATTTGGTCGTGAATTGGGTTGATATCCAGGTCTTTGTGAATTTGAGAATTTCGCACGAACCAGGGTGCGTTCACTGTGCTACGTAAAATTTTGTTTTGAAGATTTAATTTTTGTCTATTTTTCAAGCAGTAGCCCAGGCTGGAACTGCATAGAGGATTATTGGGCGAATAAGTGAGATTTAAATATTTTTCTTTATACAGAGGTTTAACTTAGTTTCTTTCAATTAATATGATCTTTGAAATTTAGGGCTTTGTCAATATATACTCCTAAGTATTTATAGGAGTTGGCAACAGAAATATCTTGGTTATTGAGTCGGATATTTATATTCACTGGGATATTTTTCCTGTATCTGCGGAGAGAACTATGCAGCATGTATCAGTATTTAGTTTGATTTTCCAGTCTTGACAAAATTTGTTAATGGTGTGGACTTGGAGCTGAAGATTCTCTGAAGCATTATTTGGACTTCGTGAACTGATGAGGATGACTGTGTCGTCGTCATATTTGAGTATATTAGAATGAAAAGGTAGAGGCATATCATTATGAATATTGTAAAAAGCTTCGGTCCTAAAACACTGCCCTGAGCTACTCCACTGTAAATCACTTTTTTGAAGAGATTGCTTCACCACAGTGCACTTGAAAAGTACGATGTTTAAAATAAGAATGCATAAGCTTGATAAAGCTGTTTGGTAATAGGAAGTTAGATAGCTTATGAAGTAAGCCAGCATGCCACACTTGATCGAAAGAAGGGCTAAACCAGAACAGTGCGAGATACTTGTACATGAAGTAGACATGACGTCATCTCACAGCAGCCAATCAGCTGTCAGCACGACTCAGCTTTCCAGATGATGTAACCTCGAGTTTCATTTTTGCATCTTAATTAGGCTGGAACAATCCGTTCTTAATACAAACAGTGGCAGTGAAAAACGAAGTAATTGCTATATCCCTTTAAAATAAAAACTAAACCTTATGTAAAAGTTAGAATTATTTCAAGGAGGAGAGATGATGCAGAAAAAAGGTTACAATAAATCAAATTTTCAACACTTTGGTATTCGGTTCTGTTATTCGTTTGATATGAATCTGAATGTTTTTCTTGTAGCATTTATCATATGATGGAAATATTCTCATTCCTATGTTTCATATTTTGCTGCTTAGTGCGGCTGCACCTATTGCACATGCTTTGCCTCTGGCCCTCATCACTGTGCATTTCTAGAACAAAGTAAGTAAAAGTTGGCCACCTCTGATTATATATATATATATATATATTCATTAATCATATCGTTGCTGAGGCCTTCTGGAAAATAATATGAATTCAGTTGTTCAGAGATTATATCTTAACTATCCAAACAGAGGAGGGTTTTAACTCCCAAACTCCAAATTTCCCAAAAAGATCTTTTGAAAATTTTTTTCTTAACTATAATTCCAAATTAAACTTTCAGCTTTGATTTTTGACTCCTTTTCTTTCAACTTCGGCGATTCCGGACTAGGGTTTTTCCGGAATATAGATCATCGATTTAAATCTGGTAAGATGGCATGCAGAAATTATAAAATTAAAAATATGAAACCATAATTTATAAAATAAAGAGCAATTATGATCTAAAGGTTATCAAAATTTACAGAAAAAAAGCTTAATTATTATTTGTTTACTTTATTGAACATTTCTTTCAATGCAAGATGTTCAAGTTGCTTCGTTTTTTGTGCAAAACGCGCATGCCTAAAGCGTACAAAAAAAAAGTTTGTGTCTTGAGGTCCGAATTACAGACTTTGTATTATATTGTAATTGTCTGAACATGTTTTAAAATTTATATCAAAGTATTTAAAGATACCATAAATATTTTTGAATATATATGGATATATACACTGGTGTGCAAAAAATTAAGGACGAAGTCGAAAAATTAGCATATCAGCTGAACAAAGAGGCAGAGCGGACAGAAACACCAATCGGGAGATTAAGTAAGGTGATGTACGGTAGCATATGCGCAGATATGCAGGTAGACGTAATGGGGGCGTGTCTGAGTAGTATAAAGCATGTTGTCGGTGTAAGATCAGTATTTCTGACAAAGAGATTGCATGCCGTATAGCAGTTAAAATCACACCGAGTTGCTGCCTCAGCGAGAAATGGCAAATAATCAATCTGTTAGACGACATCTAGATGCTTTCACCAGAGATCGAATCATTGGGAAGTTGGAGGAAGGCCGCAGTGTGACAAGCGTGTCTGCAGAGTTTGGAATTGCTCGCAGCATCATTTCACGATTTTGGAGACAATTTCAAACTACAGGAACAGCTATCCAGGGGTTTAGTAGTGGTCGTCCACGAGGAACCACACCCGCAGATGACCGGTATATTGCCTTACAGGCCAGAAGAAACAGGCGGGAGAAATCGCTAGACACATGAGACTGGACGACAGATATCGAGTTTTACCGTGGCCAGAAGACTGCATGGTGGTGGTCTGTTTGCACGACGCCCTGTGCGGTGTGTACTAACTCCTGCTCATCGGAGAAGGCGTTCTCTGTGGTGCCGGGAACACCGGAATTGGAGAGACAATGAATGGGGACGAGTACTCTTTACAGATGAGAGCAGATTCAGTCTGAGTAGCGATTCTCATCGCATACTCATCTGGAGAGGGCGGGAAAGCCGCAATCATCCCTCGAACATCATTGAAAGGGACAGGTATGGAGGTGGCGGTGTTCTCGTTTGGGGAGGCATCATGCTTGATAGTCGTACAGACCTTCACATCTTCGACGCAGGTTCAGTCAACGGGACCCATTATTGTAACGAGATTCTTCTTCCATATGTGCGTCTTTTTAGAGGCGCTATGGGTCCGCAGTTCCTTTTCATGGACGACGATGCACCATGTCATCGCACAGTAGCTGCCGAACAGCTCTTAGAGAGTGAGGATATTGAACGTATGGATTGGCTGGCACGATCTCCTGATCTCAATCCCATCGAGCATGTATGGGATTTTCTAGGCAGACGCTTGGCAGCTCGTACCTTACCACCAGTGACGATTCCGGGGCTTCGATTGGCGCTGCAAGACGAATGGGCAGCAATGCATCAACAACTCATTGACACCCTCATTTTCAGCATGGGCAGATGCTGTGAAACCTGCCTAGCAGTCAGGGGAGATCATATCCCCTATTAAAGACCGGATGTTTCTTGCTGGACACCCATCACAGGGATGTTTTGGCCTTCAGTCGCATTGCGCTCCATGCTACTTTTTCAATAAAGCTTCTTTTTATCCCTCTGATTTCTCTTTTAGTAAGTGTTGCTTACATTACTCATGTCCTTACGTATTGGGGATCAACCGTCTCGTCCTTAATTTTTGCACACCAGTGTACACCTCTTTGCCACCTTGTGGTTAAAGGCCTGTCTTCTTTATTACAATGATGTACAGATGCCCACTTTAAGATTTGTAGTGAATAGTGAACATACTGTGAAACTGGTTGCTTTTTATAAGAGATTGCGAGGAATATTTCTGACTGTTAGGCAGGATTTGTATCTTTTTTATGAAGACAAAGGCTGTATTAGCAATCAAGAGACTGTGAACTATAATTTTCTAAAATAATGATACAGTGGAACCTCCAGATATGAAAAATTCCTCTATATACGAGAAATTCAAGATAAGAGGAAATTATGAGCAAAAAATTTGACTCTTAAATACAAGCATTGACTCGAGCAATAAGCCGGGCTGTTGGTGCGTGGCACCATTTCCCATCCTGCTCGACTCGGGGAATCCCATTGTCAGATCCCTCCAATTGTTTATTACATTCAATTTTAAAATAATTATTTCACGATGCCTTCCAAGAAGATTGTTGCCTTGGATAGTGCTGCAAAGAAAAATAAGAAAGCTATGGCTGTTGAAATTAATATAGATATCTATACAAGTATGGTGTAAGAGTGACAGAATTGGCGAAGACTTAACAGCCTTTCGACATCGACAATTTGCGCTTTTCTGAAGACTCAGGAAGAAATTAAGAAACTTGATGTAGCTAAAGGAGTTAAAGTTGCTTCCAAGCACTGACCGTAACTCCTAGAAGATGTTGAGAAGCAGTTTTTGGTGTGAATTAACGAGAAGCATTTAAAAGGTCGGTGTCGGAAGCTATCATAAAGATAAACTGTGGTTGTATTATTTACTAGTGTTATGTATTAGAAAAAATTATTTTTATGTTGATATTTTGAGGGGCGCAGAACGGATTAACTGGATTTCCATTATTTTCAATGGGGAGGTTTGCTTCTAGATACGAGAAATTCACTATACTAGCTCGGTGCTGGAACAAATTAAACTCGTATCGCGAGGTTCCACTGTATTTCTGTTTCAGTGCCCACTTTGTGTCTAGAAATATCTACTGAATGCTAGCGATGAGATAGAGATTTCTATACAAATATTTTTTTTGTGTGGGGGGGGGTGTATTCAGCAAATTACTTATTTTAACTTTTCAGCACATCCCAGTCCTGCTATTTTGTTTAGACAAAATTTAAAGTAGAGTAAAGGAATGCCATTGTTGTGATAAATAATACAGTAGTCATTCTAATGCTTATGAATTTTAAAATTTGGTGTTTTTCTTTCAGAATTCAAAGAGGCCTTTTCATTGTTTGATAAAGATGGTGATGGCACAATCACAACTAAAGAATTAGGTACTGTAATGCGATCTCTTGGCCAAAATCCTACTGAGGCCGAATTACAAGATATGATAAATGAAGTAGATGCTGATGGTAAGAAATTTTACTATGCTAAATCATAAATTTAAGTGCTGAATGTAGTTTTAATATAAAAAATGCAAGTTAAGTAAATTAAAAACTTCTGTTTATTATAAGAATCAGAATCTAAAATTTTAAAAATATTTCTTTATGAATTTGAAGGTTTATGTAATAAGAAGAATGGGGGGGAACAAGACTTCTGACAGTATGCTTTTTAAGTGTTAAACCTGAATTGGTGGGTTAACAATTAAGAATGCATTTTAAAATACTTTAACCTTTTCCAGTTACTGGGACATATATGCCCTGCACTACTTTAAGTATGTCTCAAGAAATTTCAATAAATTATGCAGATTTAAAATTTATTCTTTAATAAGGAGTAGGACATGTAAGATCCTGTTGATTTGTTTTTCTGCTCCTTGCTATGAACTTAGTTGACTGAATGGTCCTAATGCAGAAAAAATCTGATGTGGACATCACGACTTCCTTGTATTGTCTTATTAAATTATGCACTTTTTGCTGCATTTCATTTAAACTTATAGCCTCAAATTTCATTAGAGATACATTTCTCAGTCGATTAATTCGCATCTTTCTTCGTGGCAAGACAAAAATACATAAAAACTCCAAACATCTTCATTAAAGAATGTAAAATATAGAAAAACATAAAACACCAAATAGAAGGTTTTCTTTTTTTTAACACAAATAAAATTTGTTTCTATGCAAAAAAAGCAATTTGGCCGAAAGACGGGTTTTTGGTGCACAAATCGAAATTTTTAAAATGAGACATCTAACAATTTTAGAATTATCAATTTAAAAGTTGTTTGAGTGACACTAAGCTCGACTTCTTAGGCTTAGTACCAATTAGCAGCTTTTAAATTGACAGTACTACAACTATTGCATGCAAATTAACTACAGGCATAAAAACTTTAACCAGAACATAATTCAATGACTTGTAAAGCAAAACATGCACAATTTAAATTAAAGCATATAAGGATAAAAAAAACTGAACTCTCTAAGCAAGGTAATAGAGTGCGTATATATGTATGCAGATCTTTAGTGCTGCCGATTGCAACCAAAATGAGAGGTGCACAACTGCATACTTTAATTCTCTCATATACAAAATTTCGAGTCTCTGAGGCTACTCGTTTTTGAGTTATGACAGATACGTATGTACAAATGTCGCGAAAAAAGTCTGCTAAATTTATTTACAATTTCTTTTTTGAATAGATTCCTTTATTTCTGTCTATACGTACAAATGTCACTTAAAAACATCATTCAAATGTATTTAAGAGTGGTCAAAATGGATATTTTCATCAAAATATATCCAAAGTTTTTTTGGATTGCAATACTTCCTTTAAATTGTACAAGGAAGTAAAAATTAGTCCGTATAACACATGGAAAAAGGTTAAAGCATAGTAAATGTTAAAATTTGTAACTGATACTGTTACTTTTAGTCATAATTCTGGGAGATTTGAGCTTCTCTCCCCTCCCCCTTTTTCTTCTGGTAGAGCTGTTTTTATCTATGCTATGTGTTCCTTTTGGAAGTTCATAGTTAATAAAAACTTATCTAGTATGGCAGATTTGTAAGGGCCCTTCAAGTGTTTTGTTAGAAGTGAGTGTTTAGTTTTGATGGGCAAGCCTGTAAGCAAAAAATATTTTGTGAAAACATTTTGTCTATTTATCTGAAAATATTAAACTGAGTTATTTCATTGAACATTTTGAATAACTTTTTAAAGTGCCTAAAATTTACATAACCAAAACATAATGAGCTGTCAACTTTATATGTATTACTGTGTATATAACCTAAGGATATATTAGGCTTGTGTATATGTGTGTAGTTTTTCTGGTAATTGAAAAATGAAAGTGTACTGTGGCTAATGTTTAAAATTTATTTTCGATAAAGTTTGGGAATAAATTGATAAAAAATAAGTTTATTAAAAAAAGTACTTATAAAATTTTACAAAGTATATATTAAAATAATGTAATTTTATCGGTATTTTTATTATTACTCTAAGATGATATTTTATCTACTGTTATGAAAGATGTATTTTAAAAAAGTTAAAACAAATTATAATTTTATCTGTAGAACCATTCTAATAGAAATTTAACTGCTTTATAAAAATTTTGCTCTAAATCAGCCATCTATATCCGAGAAAAATGTTTGCATTTAAACTATTAAAATATAAATGTTTTAATTTGTATAGGAAATTGATATAAAGTAGCCTTTCTTAAGACATTGAAAGCTAGAAACATTTATATTACATCTCTGATTACAACTATGCACGCTCCCAGATTAATTTGATGTCAGCTAAAGGTTGGTTAGCAGATTTAATCAACTGAAATATGTCATTTAGTAAAAATCTAATCAATCTTTTGATGGTTGTACTCTGCCCAGGGTCTGTCAGGCTACTAATAGCAACAACTTCAAAAGTGATGAGTATTTCTTAAAGCAAGGATGAATATCCTGTCTAAGGCAATTTCCTCTTTAGGAACATAAAATTCCAATTGTGTGTGCTCAGCTTAGTAATTTTTTATTGTATTGTGTATCAAATATATGGAGATGCCTGAATTTTTGTGTAAAAGCAGCTGGTATTGTTATATCAACTCTGAGTATAACATATTTAATGAGATGGCTGCTGATTTAATTTTGTTTATTTCCGTGCTTTAAAACGTTATTTGTTAGTATGTTTTGTGTGGCTTTTAAAGGTGTTTGTTCTGTGCACTTAAAGTAAGTAGATTTACCTATTAAAAATTATCTCGCCGGTTTTCGAATTCAGCATGATGGGCTCGCCTTTCATTCAGTTTTCTGTCATGAGTTTCACATGCATTGGATTCATGAAATGAATTCCTAATCACTATACACTGAAGTGACAAAAATCATGGGATAGCAATATGCAAATATACAGATGGCAGTAGTATGGCGTAGAAAATGTATAAATGCGAAGTGCTTAGGCAGGGCTTTCATTTGTGTTCAAGTTATTCATGTGAAGAGGCTTTGGCGTGATTATGGTCGCGCACGACGAGAATTAACAGACTTTGAAAGCAGAATGGTAGTTGGAGCTAGATGCATGGATCATTCCATTTCGGATATCGTTAGGGAATTCAACATTCCGAGATCCACAGTGTCAAGAGTGTGCCGAGAGTATCTAATTTCAGGCATAACATCCCACCATGGACAGTGCAGTGGCCGACCACCTGCACTTAACGACCGAGACCAGCGACGTCTGCGTAGAGTTGTCGATGTTCACAGACAAGCAACACTGCGTCAAATAACCACAGAAATCAATGTGGGACGTACGAGGGACGTGTCCGATAGGACAGTGCGGCGAAATTTGTCTTCCTTGGGTTATGCCAGCAGAAGACAGACTCAAGTGCCTTTACTGACAGCACGACATCGCTGCAGCGACTCTCGTGGGCTCATGAGCATATCGGTTGGTCCCTAAACGAATGGAAAACCGTGGCTTGGTCAGATGAGTCGCGATTTCAGTTGGTAAGAGCTGATGGTAGGGTTCGAGTGTGGCGCAGACCCCCACGAAGCCATGGACCCAAGTTGTCAACAAGGCACTGTTCAAGCTGGTGGTGGTTCCATAATGGTCTGGGCTGTTTTTACATAGCATGGACTCAGTCCTCTGGTACAACTGAACCGATCATTGACTGGAAATGGATACCTTCAGCTACTTGGAGATCACTTACAGCCATTCATGGACTTCACGTACTCAAACAACGATGGGATTTTTATGGATGACAATGCGCCATGTCACTGTGCCACAATTGTTTGCGATTGGTTAGAAGAATATTCTGGACAATTCCAGCGAATAATCTGGCCACCTAGATCGCCCGACATGAATCCCATCATACATTTATGGGACATCATCGAGAGGTCAGTTCGTGCCCAAAACCCTGCACCGTCAACACTTTCACAATTATGGACATCTATAGAGGCAGTATGGCTCAATATTCCTGCAGGAGACATCCAAACTTCCAACGACTTGTTGAGTCCATGCCACGTCGAGTTGCTGCACTTCGCCTGGCAAAAGGAGGACCGACAAAATATTAGGAGGTATCCTATGACTTTTGTCACTTCAGTGTATTATACTTTTTCCTAAGATTAAGGCTCTTCCATTTTAACCTGCTATTTTCGATACATACTCAGTTGTTGCTAATAAAAAAAAATTTAAATTGTTAATTAGAAATTGAGTTGAATTGAATTATCTTTAGTTTTTCCATAAAGGAAAATTGCATACTAGGATTGTATTGTAAATAAGCTATACATTAAAGTGCCATATTATTAATAGTTTAATATTCCAGCTAGGTAAACTTTTTTGTAGTAAAAGGTATTTATTCTTCACAGCATGGGCTAAATTTAAATTTTCAGCATAAATACTGATCTTTGGCAAATGTCAGTTATTTATTATATATGAAATTGATTATTAGTTTTAGTTTTCTTAAACGTTTCATTTAATATTTTAATGTGAAACCTAATACATTGCCACTGCTCTGTCCATGGTGGGATGTTAGTTTTCCCACTAAATAACGAGGCTTCTATTACTTTTTTTGAGCATATTTTTAATTTTATTCCATTAAAAATATGATCTTGCTTATATTTTTTAACTGTTTAATCAGGAAATGGCACAATAGACTTTCCTGAGTTCCTTACTATGATGGCACGAAAAATGAAGGATACAGATAGTGAGGAGGAGATTAGGGAAGCCTTCCGTGTCTTTGACAAGGATGGAAATGGATTTATCAGTGCGGCGGAGCTTCGCCATGTTATGACAAATCTTGGGGAGAAACTTACAGATGAAGAAGTTGATGAAATGATCAGGGAGGCTGATATTGACGGTGATGGCCAAGTTAACTATGAAGGTATTTTTTCAAACTTTTTTTTTTTTTTTCCCCTGCTTAGTCTTCTGGATTACACTATTACTTTGAACGGATATATAAGGTTATTATAAAAATTCTTTAATTTTAGTAACTTGTAAGTAAAAACATAAGCTTAAGTTCAGTTTAAGATAATTTATTACTTTTTTATTAACTGAAATTCAAATATACAATAAACTTCTAATAAATTAGAAGTTTTATAGCTGTTCACAAAAATTTTTCAGATGAACTGTTTAATTAAATACTTTAGAATAGTTCGTAGGTAATTTTGGATACAGAAGCGCAGTGGTTTTCAAATGGAAGAAGGATTGTTATTGAGTCTGATGTATCCTCCTCCTCCTGTTGAGAAAGTTATATCAGATTTGATTGAAATCCTCTTATATTTTTTCAGATTTGTAGTTTCTAGGTTTTAGTTTCACATTTTTTTAATTCTTATTTTGCATATTTTTTTGGATATTTTGAAATTTATTGGTGTAAAATTTCATTTCTTTTGGGTCTTCATGTAAAATTGGTTCTAAATTTCTTGCTTATATATGATAAAAATGTGTAATTCAACTGTATAATTTAATTTAGTAGTATTCACTTAATTCCTCATTTTTAATTTAGGTATTTCCTCTTTATTCTAAAAAAAATATATATACAGTGGTGGCCAAAATTGTGGACACTTTTGGAAATTTGTATGTTTTTGAACTTTGTATGCTGATAGAAAACGTTACGTTTTACAAAATGCAAACTTGTATGTATCATTTTAAAGAGAATTTATTACTGAATTCAGTACAAAACACAAAATTCAATTATTTGCAATACAAAAAAGTTAAACGATAATAGTTATCAATATACATTAGACAGTGATGATTCCGGTGAGTTAAAGTACTTAGTAGGGTACCCTTTATTTTGTATTACAGCTTCACATCGATGTTTCATTGAGCTGACAAGAGTTTTAAAAGCTCTTCTTTCGTTATTACATGATGCCAGGAAACAATTATAGCGTCAATTAATTCCCATTTATTTGATGGGCGCCTCATTCAGAAAAGAGTTTTCAAACGGTGCCACAAATTTTCGATAGGATTGAGGTCAGGACTGTTTCCTGGGCATGACAGCAAATTAATGCTCTTTGTACGAAACAACTCTTCCGATATTTTGGCCGTGTAGCAAGGAGCAGAATCCTGCTGAAAGATAAACGAAGCATTGTTGGGAAAGAGATCTCTGATGGAAGGTAGAAGTTTTGGTTCTAGAATAGTGTCAATGTATTTTCTGGCATTCAGTGTCCATCGATGACACGAAGGTAACCAATACCATCTGCTGACATGCATGACCAAATCATAACACTAACTGGGTTTTTCACAGTTATGCTTGAATGCAGTCAGGATGTAGCTCTTCTCCTATTTTACATCTTGCATATTTTCGCCCATCACTACTGAATAACGATATCTTAGTTTCATCACTCCATATAACTTGTGACCACTGATCATCTGTCCAATTAATGTGTTCTTTTGCCCACTGTAGTCTTTTTTTTTTTTTTTTTTGTTGTTGTTTTTTTGTTGTTGTTGTTGCTGAAAATTAAGATAAGCTTCTTTTGTGGAATTCTACCTCTCAGTCCAACATCTGTTAATCTTCTCCTGATTATTCTTGAACTGACAGAAACACCAGCATCATTCAGATCACTTCTGATGGCATTTTTCTATCTTGGAGACATAGTCTTTTTATTCTGCCATCAATAGATGTGGTGCACCTTTTTCTGCCTTTTCCTTCTTTGTTTTCTATTGAATGTGTCTCCTGATATCGTAAACAAAACTTTCGGACTCCAGATGTAGTCACTGAACCACCCGCCTGTCTTGCAATTTCAGCATGGGAAAGACCACTTTCTCGTAATGCAGTAATATTACATTTCTTTCTAGGTGTCCAATCTACTCTTTTATTTGATGTCATTGTTTGACTAAATATTAAAAATGTTTACAAAAATTCCTACTTGTTATTGCAGTGTATAAGAAACAGGTCCTCCTTTTACAGAACATGATTGAGAAAGGTATTAATTTAATAAACTGTGCATTTCCCATCAGAATGAGTATATTACTTTTTATGCCATTCCTAAAGAAATCAACCAGCTTATTGAAAGAAGTCTTGAAGGTTCATTTCAAGTGCCTCGTGGGAATTGTATTATTTTGCAGTAGTAAAATTGTTCAAGGTTCATATTGCAAGTCCCAAGATAGGTTCAGAGAATAATTTTGCATGAATAGGGCAGGGCAGATGTTCATATGTTCTCATTGATTAGCATCAGTATGTTTATGTGGAATCCGTCTGCCTAACTTAAAAATTTCCTTCTAATTGTGTTGAATAGTTAATGATGAATTAATCCATTCTACTAATGCTTTAACAGTTTAATTTTAGCACATCATTATCAAAAAACTAGTAGAAACCCACAGCAGCTGGTTCCTTTCAAGCCAAGGTTGCCCTACCCATATTTATAGAATGGCACTTGCAAGTATTCAAACCATGTTTATAAATATTTAAGGAAATGATTAAAGAGTGGCATATCAAATGTGCTTTTCTGCAACAGCCATTCCCATGAGAGTATTTAAGCAGCAATTAATACGAATATGCTTGCACCTGAATTTATATGAATAATGCCTTCTTTGTTAGTGGTATTGTACTATTTGAAAAACAACACTACTTGGAGAACAGTTTGATAGTTCTTATTATCTAACACGAAGGTGTCCAAGTTAGGTATAGAAACAGTGTGGTTCATTCAGGCTGTTTCAACTCATCTTTATCGTAAAGAATAGTAATAAAGACTAGTCTAAAGGGGGGTAGCAGCAGCTGTTATTTCAATGAATAATGAAGGTTTTTTTTGGTCATTTTCAGTTCAGCATTGGTTGAAGTTTCAGTCAGTTGTATCTAAAGGGGCTATACAATTAATTGGAAAAGGCAGTAAATTTGCTTATCTTGTGAACGTCTTCTGTCTCACTATTGATTTGGGATTATTAGTTCTTCCAAATCCTATTATACTTGCAATCCAGCTATGAAAAATAATGTATTTGCATCAGTTTAAAATAGCACATGAGCCCGTACTACGCGGGATGCTCGAAGCCCTTGCTCTGGGTCTAACACTGGGCTTGCACCACCTTACCCTGTGGGCACAGAGTTCTCTGCATCGAGCCGGGGGTGGGGGAGATATGAGGAGAAAACAAATAACTATTATTTATAACCATTACAAAAACTTAACAGGCTTCTCAAGAATTAGCCAGGTTTACATAAAAAAGATGTGAAGATTTTGCGATTGTGTCGTGGCATCATACTTATCTGTTTTTGACATTGGTATTTCATCCATGCATTACATGTCTCCATTTGTTTAATTTTTTGTGAAGGAAAAGTTTGTAAAATTCTAAAAGATTTTTTGCCTGATTGATGTAACAAATCACTGTCAAATGTGTTGAAAGTAATCCATATTTGTAGATGATATGTTTTCGGAAATTGTTTGGGTTGGAAGTAGAAGGTATCTTAGTTTCAAAGAGATGATAGAAATGTTCATTGAAAATTTATTTGGTTGAGTTTTACAATTTAAAAATCTTAAATAATTTCAAAAAATTTTTGCCATGTTAAAAAATAGGCTAGCATCTTTGGTATGACCATGTGTAAGAAGCTGGGAGTACATATAAATAATTCTCCTTAGAAGTTAATAATTAAATAAATATAAGTTTTTTAACTTTTCAAACAGCTTGTTAAAAACTGTCTATTGCTGATCACCTTACCCTGCATCTGTCTATTTCATAGTCTATAAAATTTTCTTCTACAGTTGTACTAAAACGTTTTGTCTTCAAATTATTTTGAATAAAAATTTTGGTTTTAATTTATTGTTTTTTCTCTTCCAGAGTTTGTAACAATGATGACATCAAAGTAAATAAATATTGGTTGTAGAGAAATGGAGCACTGTCCACATCAGCGGGATACAGTGACTGTATTAAAGCTTTAAGAAGTTCAGATTCTTTTTACTTCTTTCTATTTTAATGTTCATGTACAAAAACTAGGAAGTAACACTCTATCAGTCATCTGGTGTTACTCTTGTAAAAACATTTTTGTACCATATTCAAGGGCTGCAAGATGCACTTGTGATGTGTGAATGATCTGTTAATCTCATTTTAACTTTTCAGCTTCTGTAAATTAAAAGTGAAAATTTGTTCTATCATGCTTTTGCTGTTTGTAAAGTTAAACTACACATTCCATTAATCTAATTAATTTCATATGTTCTTTGATTTGTGACCATTTTGTTTCTCTAAAACTTTATTTAAGTTAACCAGTGGAATCTTGCAGAACTTATTGCTTGCTACGTGCGAGTGCAAGGTTGTTCCTCACATGCACGTTAAAACTTTTCAATAAAAATTCTCTCGAGAGACTATCTATTTACTTTTGTGTGATGTGTCTTTAAAACATTAATTCATTATTAATTTATGCCTATGTACTTTTGCAGTAAAAAATGATGCTATTATTTCAAATTGAATTCCTGCAGAAGTTTCATGTACTATCAAACACTTAATTTCTTAAATTTTTTATATACTTTACGAAGAAGCCCAAGTGTAGTTTTTTCTTATTTTCTGTTAAATTGTAGAACAATCTAATTTGCATGTATATACGAAATAAAATAAACAGAATAGTTTTTAAAGTATGGCTTCTTTTCTAAATTCTTCATTGAATTTAACCTATCTATAATGAAGTAATGACTCGGTGTGTCCTTGTTCTCGTATAAAATACCTTAAAAAAATACTTTTTTTAAATTGTCTTTAATGCCTGGCATGTAAAAGATTGCAGTTTGATGTAGTTATTTTTCATAATAACATTAACTTTAAAATCTGAATTTGGCCATAAGTTAAATCTTCTATTTCATTTTTAGTCCAAGTGGGCTTTGTCCCGGAGGGACTATTGTTTTCGTTTTGCATTGAATCACTCTGAATGTCCATTTTACTTTTCATACTATTGCCACCAAATATTATCACCCTGTGTTATATTTGAAGAAATTGAATAATGAAGAATGATAAATGTATGTATGTTTCTTGCATTGTTATAAAACAATGGTACCTAGAGCCATCAAATTTTGAATGATGTTAATCCTAGTGCGAAGATGGGCATCTGGAAGCCCAAATTTGGAATTTGTTTTATTTATCGATTTCATATTTTGTAAAACTTTAACAAATGTTTGATTAACGAACTCTAGGATTTCAAAGCGAGCAATGGCAACATTGTACAGAAAAAACTTTTTTATCTCCAGCATGTGAGACTGTGTATCGAAAATTCTAAAGCTATGCTCAGTTTAAAATTATTCTGCGGTATTGCTCTTGCATGAATTTTATGGTTTAAGTGCGAAGAACGTGATATTTAATAAATAAAGGTAACACACAAAATGTAAAAAAAAAAAAGCGCCACTGTGAACGTAATTTAAAATCTGAAACCTTTCAGATTTTCTTTTTTTACATTTGCGATTTCATTTTTGTGTAATTAGAAATAACTTATAGAAAATTTGCATTTTGTAAAAAGCTTTCTGTAACATATTGAGAACTACATAAACAATAAAGAACATTTTAATGTGGGTAAAAGATAATAAGATTAATTCTATAATTAGTGAGTACATAAAATAAAAACAAAATAATGGAGGTGTTGAAATTTAGAATTTATACAACTTGTTTAAAATTTATAAATTCATAAATGGGTTTAAAATGTTAAGCTGATGCATTGAAAGTAAGTATAATCAGTTTAACCTATTGAATCGATTGTCAGTACCATGCCAAAAACCATGAGACAGAATTTATGTTGCAGTTCCTTTTTTTTGCATCTTCTAGGTTGTCTCTCTCTCTCTCTCCCTCTCTCACATGCGTGCAGTTTAAAAATAATAGTAATTACCTAGAAATTGTAAATTTCAACTAAACACATATCAAATTTTAAGTAAATAATTCTAAAAACTAATTTTTGTAACATAGAAACATCAAATGGAAGCATTCATTGGTTATTTAACATGTTGAGGACACAATCACTGATGGCAAATAAAAATTTTCATCTGTAATTTGTGAAATAAAATGTAATAAATAAAAATATATCTACCAAATTTAATAAATTTCTGATCACATTTAACTTTCATTTTATGGTAGGTATTTACTGATCAAAATATCTGTATAATATGCACAAAATGATGCTACTGACAAGAATTAAACAGTGATACAACATTTGATGCTACTGACAAGAGCTTGTTTAAAGTATGGATAAAATTGCACTTAAATTATTTACTTTAATTCTTGGTAAATATTTTTTCATCTAATAAAAACATTTGTGTTTGGCATAAACTGTTCCTACATTTGTAACTTCATTGTACTTCATTTCAACCAGAACATTTTTACCATTCATTGCATAAATCCATATAGTGGCCTCTGCAAAGGTCAAATATATGTGTGCTGTAAAAGAAGTTGAAAATGCATAATATTGTTGATATTTAAGGGATTTTTAAGAATGTACTTTTCTCAGTTTTGAAATTGCATTATGTTTTACAGGTCAGATTATTTTTTAACTATCATATTCATTGATAAGATAAACAGCATTGAAGCTTTCTTCTCTTCCTAGGTTTGGCATAGTTATTGGAAGTTTTATCTACTTTTGTGAAGTCTTTTGACAGCTGTGCACATACAGACATTTCTGATTTATGTAGTGATCTCTGATCATTCAAAAACTTTAATGTTCAAAGTTACCTTAAATGTGGTTGCATTACAAGATCATGAAATATGGATAAGAATGTTTTTCAAAATTTACATACATTACTTTTGACATAAAATTACAAAAAAAAAGTTTAGGCATTATTGAAATTGCTCATCAATGAATCCCATGAATGTTCTTACATTTGGGATAATTTTCTAAAGATAATGAAATATGCTAGTAAAAGTAAGTGAGAAGAAGAAAGAAAATTTTTTCAAAATGTACAAAAATTTATATCTTAAGCCCATAAGTTCTGTTAATTTTGTTTTGGCTGTGTTGAAAACTTTAAATGTCCATTTCACTTTTCAAATTGTTGCCACCAAATATTATCGCCCTGTGTTATATTTAAAGAAATTAAACAATGAAGAATCTGCATGAATGTATGTATGTTTCTCGCATTGTGATAAAACAACGGTTCCTGGAGCCATCAAATTTTGAATAATTTAATCCTCTACTGAATGTGAGCATCTGGAAGCCCTAAGTTGGAATTTGTTTTATTATCAATTTCATATTTTGTAACACTTTAACAAATTTTTTATTAACAAAGTTAACGATTTCAAAGCGAGCAATGGCAACACTGTACGAAGTAGGAAATATTTTTATTTCCAATGCATGAGACTGTGTTTTAAAATGCTCATTTTAAAATTATTTTGCAATATTGCTGTTGAATTGGATTTTATGGTTTAATTGCAAAGAACATGATATAACGCCCCTTTGGGGTGTAATGTATGATCTGAAAGCTTTTTTTGTATGTGTGTGTGTGTTGTTTTTGAAATAAAATTGAAAGATTTTTTGAACAACTCAATTTGCAACTTTTGTAGTAATATCCAGTTAGAAGAGGACAATTATTATTTCTTAGAGTAGTTTTAATATGCTTTATTGGTCGGAGATGTGTCTGGCTTGCATTGGACAGGGTTCGTACGGTCTTTAGGAGTCTTTTAAAAGTTCTTAATTTTGGCCAAAATCAGCTGAAGGTTCTTAATTTTAATCATCTGAAATTTCTGTCTGTTTTTACAACTGCCATTTTGAGTGTGAATTAGCATTTTGGAGGAGTATTTTTGGTGATTCACTGACATATATGATTATCTTATCTTTTGAATGGGTTATAATTTGTTTCTAATTCTAATATAAATGATGGGATACTCGAGTTTCTAAGCAAGAAGGGGAAAATAAGCATTTTGAAATTCATTTTTTCGAATAAAGAGCTCTTAAACAACTTGTCACGTTTAGGGATGTGAATTCTCTTATTAAACTGTTCTAAATTTGGCAATTTTAAGATCAGTTTCTATATAAAATTTTTAATTCCGAGATCTGAGAATTTTTCAACGATTTTTTTAAAGCATCATAACATTAATAAATTTCATTAAAATAATGGTAATATATTGCAATTATATTTAAAATAAAATATATTTCAGAGTTGCCTTTTCGACTGCTCTAAAGGCCAACCCGATTTACAATATATTTCTCCCGAATTTTTCTTATTCTTAAAATTTCTCACGATTTTTATGGAACTTAATACTTCGTTATATAAACAAAAAAAAAAAAAAGTGATTTTGGACGTCTTGAAAACAATTGAATTTTCTCTAGATAGATTATGTCTAAAACAAAACCTTGCGAATCGGACGAGAACTGCTTTCTGAGTGAGAGCATACACGTATCTAGAAACGTTCTCCAGTTCTCTAATGGGCATCCAGCTTCACTGCTTGTCATCTAGCATATATTAATTAGCCAATGAGCACAAAGCAAGCTCAAGGCTGTTATTTGGATGTTCTTTAATTATTTCGTTTGTTTTGTCTTGAGTTGTGCGAGTACCACGTGCCTTCGGGAGATAGTTTTAGAAATTATCATCTTTTGTTATGTCTGTGAGAAAGGTGAAATACTTGTGTACGTTTCAAAAATCGTATACAGTTGACTTTCCTTCCATATTTCCTCAAGGAAATGTAATAAATTTGTAACGTGTACCGTCTGCCATTGCAATTTTTTGATTTTGCATGGTGGAAGGGCGGATGTTCTCAAACATGTGCATATACAAAAACACAAGGACAATATGAGTCATTTTGAAAAAATATAATTTTCTTCGGAAACAAAGGACCAAAAAGTTAATTATGCAGAATGTCTTTTCTCTGCCTTTTTACTGGAGCACGACTTGCCATTAAATGCATCGGATCACGCTGCAGCTTTATTTAGAAAAATGTTTTCCGATAGTGAGATCGCTAAGAAATACTAAAGTGCAATGACCAAAACATGTGCAATTGTTAAAAAAATGAGTTTGAAAAATAAATCTTCAGTTATTGATTGCATTAAAACAACTCTGTTCTGCCTCTTTACGGTGGAAGTGATAATACCGATTCAAAACTGTATCCAATTGTTTCTTTTTTTAATCCAGCGTCTTCAGAAATTGAGTGCAGTTTACTTTCTGCCCCCACATATGGACATTTGACAGGCTTTAATGTAGCACAGCTAATTATTAAAACTTTAAAAGAAAATGCAGTCCCTCTAAGTAATTATCTTGCATTTTGTGCCGATAATGCACCAGTAATGATAGGCTTGAAGCCTAGTGTTGCAGGCATCTTAAGAAAGGAAAATTCAGATTTGCAGATTATGAGGTGCACCTGTTGTCATTTCTTAAATTTAGCAGCTGAAAAAGAGGCAGCTTCTTTACCAATAAATTT